GATGATGATGATGATGATGATGATGATGATGATGATGATGATGTATATCCCAGCTACCCAACTATCTATCCACTGAGTAAAGAAATGGATTAAGATAGGAGGACTGGAAGCGTGCGTGGGAGCAGGGGGGGGGGGGTGTTTTCAAATTTTTGGGTATTAAAATGGATGGGGTAAGATCCCCGTTTGTGCCTGAAATGAACCTTAATGAAACTTCAGTTGCAACAAATCAAAGATTTATCCTTTGTATAATGTGGGTTTATCCTTTGAGAGTAGGATAAACCCACATTGTACAACAGCCGCTAACCCTGTTAAGCAAACTTACCGGTGGTTCTGGCAGAGACCTCGCTCAGACGTTGCTCTTTAAAGAATACGGCAATGATTACTTATGAAAGGTTAAATCTATTCTTGCCTTTTCTCCAGGTTTTAAAAGTAGCTTACCTGGGGCTCTATTTCACAACAACAACCCTTGGAGGTAGGTTGGACTGAGAGGGAGGGACTGGCTCAAAGTCAGCCAGTGAGCTTCTGTGGCTGAGGGGGGACTAGAACCTGGGTCTCCCCACTCCTGGTCCAGCCCCTTCCTCATTACAGGTGATTGGCCCTTGGGCTGAGAGGGCGGGACTAGCACCCAAGGAGCTTCTGTGACTTGAATTAACTGACTGAATTAATTGACTTCCTTGGGTCTCTCTGGTGCCAGTCCAACCTGTTGGCCACTCTATCCATCATCTGATTTAACGGACTGGGTTTGGGGGTTCCCACAATCCAGCTGACTGCATAACATTGATTTGCCCTGTGCCCATGTGGTTTTCTGGATAGAAAGACCTAGCTGGGCACAGGGTTAAGTTAATGCTATGCAGTCAGAAGACCGGAAAGACCAGGTGAGGGCCAGATCATAATGCAGAAAATCTGTCTAGGTGACCGCTAAGAGTTGGCCCTGACTTGATGGCATGTCATCAGTCAACAGCTAGGTCTGTTGGGGATTAAATCGAAGCCACTAGATCAATTGATCTCTTTGGGGGCAGGGTTCCTACAAGGCACCAACCCTGCTCCGTTAACCCTGGAAAACACGCTGTGGGTGCAGGCCCTAAAAATGCCATTTTTAAGTCAAACTGAGTCAGGAAGGCAGCCTTGGGAGGAAATGACACAACAGAGAAGCTAGGACAAGAGGGCAAATTCACAAGCCCCCCCCCCCAAGTTTAGCCCCCAGAGATAAGGGGCTGCAGTAACCTGTTGCTTACGAGAGTGGTGCGTCTGCAAGATTGCAGGCTTTCATCCACAGACCCAAAGCAGCATTGGCCCCCTTGCCAAGCAAGCTCTCCCCTTTCCAATCGCTCATCCAACTCCCACAGTGTGTACAAAAGGGGCGGGGCTTGCATTGCAACGGCACTCCGCGGTTTGCGTCTTCAGGTTCGTGAATCCTTTGTGCATTCAGAAAGAACAGAAAATCCCATCGTTCAACAACGTGGTTGCAGTGGGCCCAGCAAAAGGGCAGGCCTTCAGTCACCTTGTTTGAACGTGGTTCATGCTGGGAAAGGAGACCACTAGGAGATCCCAATGCCGTAAACTAAACTGTAGAGTCCAAAAAACGTTCCAGAAGGTGGAAGCGGTTATATTCTTTCTCTAATGCTGCCAAGAAAATGGCACAGCTGTTTTTGCGAAGTCACCAGGAGCTGATGGTGGATGTTTTGCTTGTTCCAGTGTCATTCAATTCACTTTGGATCAAGCTCGGTCCTCCTCTGAACTGCGTATCCTTTTGTGAGTGCATTTATTATTCATTTATTTCCCCCCGAACCCAACTGTTCTTTGTGATCTGGGAGCAGCGCCAGATTGTTAAACTATGAACTCAAACACTCCCTATAGGGCAAGACGGTTCTAATTTGGGTGGGAACGCATAAACCGCCCACAGTCACTTCCTAGGGAGATGGGCGGTGACCAGATTTGAAATATAAATAAATAAAAATAAATAGATCAACATGGTGAGGAGAGAGGTTCAGGAGTTGAAAGGGAATTTGCCACCCATATTTCCTTCGGCGCCTTCTCTCTCTTCCCCCCCCCCTTACAACTGCAGAGGCCTGCAAAAATTCAAGCTCTGCATGACAATGTTGATTCTGCAGTGTTTACCGTCTTTCCAAGGTAATTTTGCAGCCTTGATTATTCGGTGCAAGGAAAACACTCCCAGATTGTGATGGAAGCAAGCTAGCATCTTGACCCGAATCCCATCAATTGCGTTTCTGTCCTTTTGAGCAAGTAATGCAAATGTCAAGAGAGTTCCAAATTACTCTGGACACAGACATTCTCCTGCATTTTTCTTTAAACTGGAACTCATTCAGTTTGCCAAAACAAAACTGCTCTAGAAGTTCTTCCAAGGAGAAAAGAATTGGAATGAAATGCGTCTAGGTGGACTGTGAAGTTCTTGGGCTCGTTTCTTGATGCCTGGGCCAAGAAGCGTGGATACGAACAATCTCTCACTGCAGACTCATCCCTGCAAACTGCCTGGCTTCCCACCCTTACAATAATCCCTGGAGAATAATCATAAAGAAACTTCTCCAGAGGGATGTTTTCAAGAGCAGTGCTCCCATCACCACTAACAGAGAAATAATCAGGGCAGAAAGATAGGAGGAAGAGGGAGGAGGAGGGGAAGGAGGAGGAGGGGAAGGAGAAGGAGAAGGAGAAGGAGGAGGAGGAGGAGAAGGAGCAGCAGCACCTTTTGTAAGGATTTCTTTTTCCTGTTGAAGGCGATCAGTGGTGACAGAACATTTTTCCATAAGTTAACTCTCCCCAAAGATGTTAACCACCTCCAGTTGCCATGGCAGAGGAATATGCTTAGCTAACTAACTCCCAGAAGCCATTGGAGGTAGGGGAAGCCAGGGAGAAATGGTGGGAAAGACAGCATGATGAGGTCATAAAGGACCTGCCGGAGAAACCTCTTGAAGGTCACCTGGAGGAAGTGCAGAGAAACCATTTGGCAACAACCAGCAGGCCACACCTGTTGAGAGGGGAGGAGAGAAAGAAGCACCAGATCTATGGGTCAGCTTCACCCACTGCTCTTGAATCTATGGAAATTCAGCCATCTAGAGGGTACAGGGCTTCTTCTAGGGCATTACCTTTCTCCCCTCGGTTGCATATCTGCCCTGCTGACCTTCAGGGAGGATTGAGCTAAGATCTCCAGGAACTTCAACCAACATGAGGATTCCATCTTCACTGTCTTGGCACATGGTTACTCTGTTTTTGATTCTTCAAGTCGTCACCATAAAGGCTTTCATCCATGCCACCTGCAATCATAACTCGACCTCGCTAGACGTTGGGGCTCTACCACCTTTTGTTTGGACACTGCTCCCCCCAGAAGGACTCCTGGGGCTTTGGGTGAAGGTGAAGCCCTTGAACATCTGTCATCACATCAAAGGGGCACCAGAGTCCTCCTCTGTCTTCGTGGCCCTCTTCCATCAGTACAACTGCTCCTTCACCAAGAAGGTCTTTCAGGCCCAGCAGGTTGGTTTCCATGCTGCCATTGTGCACAACGTGAGCTCCCAAATGCTGGAGAACATGATGAGTGAGCCAGGTGCCAAATGGCACATTCACATCCCAGCGGTGTTCACTGCAAAAGAGACATCTAAGATCCTCAAGCGTCTGCAGCACTCTGGGAAATTCCTTTCATCAATCCCGATGCCTGAATATTTCCATATCACCTGGAAAGATGCTTCTAGGGCTCCCCGCCTTGATTCCAGAAGTGCCTGCCAGTGTCTCATCCAGCTATCTGGCTTCTGTTCACAGATTGCAATGCTTTACACCTGTTGGATTATCTGCCTTCCAATGTCTGCCTTGATTGCCACAATACTCATTGAGAAGTATCTATCCCGGTGCAAGAGAAGAAAGGCAAGGAGGAACCTCTTTCTCCAAGAACATGGGAAAGAACCAGTCAGTATTTCATTTACTAGCTCCAAATACCAGGAATGTGCCATTTGCTTGGACAGGTATATGGAATACGATAGCGTGAAAGTGCTGTCATGTTCCCACGCCTTTCACAGCAGATGCATCGATCTCTGGCATATCACCCAGGCCAGATGTAAGACCTGCCCTCTGTGCATGCAGAAGGTGATGGTGGTCACCCGTTTACAGGCAATGAGGTTATGGAAAGATGGAACAAGAGAAAACTATTGGACATTGTGGGCTGGCAGAGAGCAAACCATAGCCAACCTGCAGCCATGTTTGATGCTCCCTCAACCACATCCTTCCCATTTCTGAAAATTAATCCCAGGAAAAAGGCCAGGAACCATACTGGAAGATCAGAAGAAGAAATTATCAGCAATGGATGGAAAGAATGTGAAGATGCTTCTAATGATCCATGCTATTCAGAAACACTTTCAATCTTGGCCACCAAACAGGACCATCCTACTGAGATCATCCTGGCAACAGAAAATTCACCAGCCATCTCAAGGGAAAATAGATAAGAATCAGTATACTATGGGTTGTGGGGGCATCTTTATAACATGGCTGCTCAAATGTTGGTGGCTCAAAAAGACAAATAATCATAATAATTCTGGTGATAACTCCCCTTGTGATGCGCATCAGGAGATTACAGAGAAAGTGTTTATTCAATCTGGGTTCAGTCTGACTCTTGCAGTTTTGTTAGCGGTCAAATGTTGGTAATGAAGCAAGAACCAGAAAATGGGGGAGCTGGTCTCCATGGGAGTTGGCAAAGTTTTTCTTCGTTTAGTCCTTCAAGTAACCAGGGTCATGGTGCAGATCATAAAATTGTCCCATAGCTGAATCAAAAAGGTTCTTGAGAAACCTAAGTGTAGGAACATATAGAGCAGTGTTTCTCAACCCTGGCAACTTGAAGATGTGTGGACTTCAACTCCCAGAATTCTGGGAGTTGAACTCCACACATCTTAAATTCAGAATTCTGGGAATTGAAGGCCACACATCTTCAAGTTGCCAAGGTTGAAAATCATTGTCATAGGGAAAGGAGAGCCCCTAAACACAATTCTTACAGAGGCTTTTCTAACCAGATTTATTTAAAAGGGCAATGGGATTAGATTTCAGAAATCTAGAAGGACCAGATTTACCTCTGAGTTCACTGGGCGGGAGATGATGACCAGAAGAGCTGTGTCTCCATTTGCCAGAGAATGGAAGAATGGGCAGATATTCTAAACTGGCAATATTTTCCAGACCAGCTCCTCTTCCTCAGGCACTGAGAAGACCACGACATCAAACATCCCTAACAAACACATACTTAGGAAGGGGGAAATACTGCAGTATCCATGGGGTCATTTTTAAGTTTCCAAACAATTAAGATGATCGCACTCAGCCCAATTCCAGCTGGAAGGCAGACCTCCATTATCCACAACTCACTCTCCTTTGACTTCACAAAGGGGCTGAAGTTACAGTAGCCCAGATGTTTGGCCCAGCACTACTAAGGACACGAGGAACGGCCCAGGGGTGTCTGCAGGGTATGGTGAAAAAGGTCAAGATGGCAGCCGTGACGATCTACTCCATGCTTCACCTGTTTGTTTAATGCATGTTGCAACCCTCTGGCGGAGATGGGTGGCATATAAATTTAATAATAAATAAATAAATAAATAAATAAAGTAGGTGGAGCTTAGATCCATCTTGACTTTTTAGATCATGCCATGCAGACCCTTCTGGAGCAACTCTTGAAGCTTTGCCCAAAGACTCATAGTTCTACGTAGTCATAGTTCTGCATTCTCCTATCCACAAGTTGATTGCTGGTTAGTGCTAAACAAATTTAATCTGGAAGGACGAATTTAATCTGGGTTCCCTTCAGATATACATTTGATTTGTTTTTCACAAAGTTATTCATGAAATGGAACTTCTCTTCTCTTCTCTTCTCTTCTCTTCTCTTCTCTTCTCTTCTCTTCTCTTCTC